TCTTGTTTCAAATTCTAGTAATCCTTCTGGGACCTTGTATAAGCCATGAGTATATTTGTATACTTCAATGAGGTCCCCACGCAGACGTGGGGACCTACATTTACTTCTGGGGCTTTCGATCAAAACTTGCATTTATACAAGTTACGGTTAAAGTGCACGAAGCGGCCGATTAGTCGTCAGTGATTGGTGGGTTTAACTTGAAAAGCCATCATGATGTATTTTTGATATTTCAGCCTCAGAGCAGCAGCAACAGCTTGGTCAAAAAGAAAGGGCTGAAGATGAGCAGACTGTTAGCGTCGAGTGACCATTACGAAAGTGAAAGCTGCCATTCAAGGCTTCGAGTTCAGGCATCAAGGCTTCGAGCTCGGGCATCAAGGCTTCGAGCTCAGGCATCAAGGCTTCGAGCTCAGGCATCAAGGCTTCGAGCTCGGGCATCAAGGCTTCGAGCTCAGGCATAAAGGCTTCGAGCTCAGGCATTAAGACATCGAGCTCCGGTATCGAAGCATGGAGCAAGCATTGAGCTTCATCTTCTTATTGAGTACACGCGATACGAGCATATTTTCATATTATGTGCGCGCAAACTACAGTTGGAGCCGAATCTTTAATCTCTTTACTCTCGACCTAGGAAAAAAGCTGCAGACCAAGAGGTGCCGACACAAGAAACAGCTGCAGACTAATTAGTGCCGGCATCGGAAACAGCTGCAGACCAAGAGGTGCCGACACAAGAAACAGCTGCAGACTGATTAGTGCCGGCATGGGAAACAGCTGCAGACTAAGAGGTGCCGACACAAGAAACAGCTGCAGACTAATTAGTGACGGCATCGGAAACAGCTGCAGACCAAGTGGTGCTGGCGTGGGAAACAAGTGCAGACTGAGTATTATCAGCATGAAAGACATCTGCAAATTGCAGACTAAGTAGTGCCGGCACGTGAAACATTGCATTACAGCAGCAATGCCCACGTAGCACACGCATCGTCAAATAGTACATCCATCGCGTTACAGCAGCAATGCCCGCGTAGCACACGCGTCATCGGAGTAGCAGCGTTATTTTACCAGCGCGTGCGCGTAGGCACGGCGCATGGAAGAGCCCTCACGCATTCGTCAATGGTATCGAACAATGCCACAAAATTCCCACGCAGCGCCAGACGTACGTTCTACCCACTACTCGTGTCGGCAGATTGCAGCGCTCCGTAAACTTTCTATATTGTGTTCAAGATCCCCATGATAATAAGTGCGACCCGTTTCACTGTCGTCGTGTATTGTCTGAGGTCCTTTAAAGACTTTTCTTTTGTGCATTTCGTCGCGAGACAAGCGGTCGTCACGGACCAACGTCGATATGATGTCGCCTCTTGAGACACATAGAAAGTATTTTGTTTCTTGATCACTCACGATGCACATGTGGAGACCTTGAACCTAACTCGGGAACTTTATTCAAGTTTGTTTACGATTTTGCGCAGGAAACTAAGTGACGGTAAATTTATTGGATCAACTGTTTCTCGGTACTCAAATATGTGCACATCATCTTCCGAAAATAATAGGCATGTACGTATAGGTACTCCGCTCTTATTCGCAAGATATAATAAGTAATGCGATTCGTGATTCACAACACAAAAGTTAGAGTTAGCCAAGTCAAAATTTTTGGTTGGACATTTTTAAGACAACTTATTCGGTTTGAAAGGTATATGTTAAACACTTTAAAATGTCAACATTGTTGAACCATTTGCCAATCACTATTTACGCTTAATGACTTGATCATCATTTATGTTTGAAGACATGATTAATTTATGCTGACGTGGAAAAACATTTCCTAGTATCGAGCAACTTACGATGACCAGAAAAATATCCAAGATTATTGCCTTAGGTCAAGAAATGCAATCATGCAATAATTCTTTACAAGCGGTCACGCTTGAGTCGCCAGTATTAGAGTCGTCGGTATCGCAAGCATATACGCGATTGCAAGATCTGTCGTGGCGTCCACCCAGCGCGGCAAACTTTTACAACATACAACATTAATTTTTCCTATGTGAACGTCTTTCGTAACTGCCTAAGCAACAACCGGCACTGGGCATGCACAGCTGTGGAGAATTTAACGAGTTTTCGACAAAGTTTTTAAATTTGTTTAGTTTTTCTTGAAAGTTTGTGCGTTGTGGGAAAATATCGAGGGACCAGCCAAAGATCAAGTGACAATTCATTCTACTATAATTATTGTATACATTTTTGTGAACAGATAATCCATAAGATTCTGGATATGCGTTGAGTGAGCTGTGACTTGATTTTTTTCTCTTTTCTTGTCAGTTGAATTAACGACTGACAGCGTAAATTGCTAGGTCCTAATGAATTATACTAATTCTTTGATCCATATATTAATCTCATGCTTATAAAATTTTTATTCATATAAATTTAAATTCGGTACATGCAAAACATTTAAGATATTTGATTTTAAATTACAATGTAGACTGGACGTATGTGCATTAATAATTGAGTAATTTGAGTGAAAGTAAAATTTTAAATTTTGTTAAAAATTGCATTGTTAAGTTTGATTGAAGTAACTTTAATCCATGTTATTACATGGCATAGAAATCAATATAACTATGTGAGCTATGTGCCAAATAATCGACTCTATTAGAAAATGTCTCGTATTATTCATATATTGAAGCATACACATATATACTTTTGTTGTACAGCAATGTGAGGTAATTGATGTTACTTGAACTTAGACATCAAAACGTGCGGCGCAGGCGTAATGTCGGCGTAGTTGCGTAACTTGCGTCACTGCGTAGCGGCAAATCATGCATTGTTTCGACATGATCGGCGCCGATCGTCGTGCATGTTTTCAAATCACGGGATGTCCCCTGGGTGTCTTACCCAACAACCTTCCTGCCTCGGCAATCGCTTACGGAAAACGAAAGGGGAATCTCGCCGTCAAGAAAGCTTCAATCTTTTGTGGGAATATTATTTTCAAAAATAAGCGCTGTTTGGTTTCTGAAAGTATATAACAATTTGAAATAAATATCATACTTAATTTATAAGACGCTATGCCTGAAATACCATATTGGCTTAATTTTCCTTATTGCCTAGGAAATGGGAAAATATTTTTTCTTGAAATTCTTCGCATTAGAGATATACCTACAAATATGAATAAGTTGTGCCTGCATTATAATAGGAAACATTTAAATTTGGTACAGTTAATATTATGAGACAAGCGAGGACAAAAAACAACCTGCCTAACAACCACATAAGGTATACGATATTCGTATCAAAAGCGAAGATAATATTATTCATGAAGTGAAGTAATGCTAAGGCCATAGACTTCATAATATCCACATTGTGAATTAACCCGTCCGTCATTATTTATTTTATTATATAATATCAAAATCAAACCAAATGATATAGTGGCATTAAAATATAATATGATATACTAGAAGATAGTACAATTAAGTACATTCAGAAGTGAAGGTTAGGCCGTGTCCAGACTTAACCCGAACCTAGATTTCACAGAATTTTTCACAGCTTTCAGCGGGTTTCGAACCTGCAACCATGTGACGCCGATAAACATGCCAACAGACCTCGCGCCTTAGGGCCAGACACCCTGACAAATCCGCGAAATTGCATATAGATCAATTTGAAACAAAGTCTTTATATTAATAAAATATTGAAATTGCAGTTCAATGGCATCGAACTAAGTCGTTAGGTACCTGTTAATTCAGTAATTAAATTAAACACTGACCGCATTAACGTANTGGATGGCAGAGCTGCTGCTGGATGGCAGAGCAGCTGCTGGATGGCAGAGCTGCTGCTGGATGGCAGAGCAGCTGCTGGATGGCAGAGCTGCTGCTGGACGCTTTCACGGTCAAGGACACCGAGCTGCTGCACCAGTTTAATTATGAATTAATGATGCCATACGATGGTTGTGATGGTTACCGTAACGCTATTCTTGGCCCAATAACGGTACTTGATATTCCAACTGCAGGCGTCGAGTCGAATTTTTTCATTCAGACCCGGCAAAAAAATGTGTGAGTGCGTCTATTAATTTCATTGTTGATTAACTTTCACAATCTCCCAATTAATAATAGTCTAGCGTTTCATTTATACTTCTAGATTGAATCCCATGCAATTGAAGGCAAGAAAAATGATACCTGCATGTTATACGTATATAAACTTAATCCATCGAAAAATACTCCAATAATTCTTTGAAAGGACCAAAATTTTTTTATGGTGCTTCATGAAAATATTTGTAGCTATACTGACCTCTTCCGCGGCCATTAGCTTTTTCAATTATTTACTACAAAGACAGCCACTTAGCCTACGTAAATCCAGCACTGCTTTAGATGCCATCTGATCAGCACCTACTTTACGATCAGCCGTCATCGTCGATAAAATGCAGCCGACGACCCAAAAAACGCTTCGTGAAACGCAAAAAGACGTTCCGTGCATCGCAAAAATGCGGCTGGATCGCCAGGCATTCACTTTCAGTGGACGACGGCGCGCTAACGACCACTGAGGAACATTGGCTGCTATATGCTTGAGCAGGTGCAGCGATTAATTAGACTGGCTAACGAGGTGTATCCTGTACAAGATGTATCATGTGGATTGCATATTTTTCATTGCCTGTCATCTCGCATATGCGTTTAACTTCTTTCTTAGGAATACTTAAATATGATATTTTTATTTCCCTTTTAGCTGCAAAGTCCTTAAAAAAATTCGCGATGGAGATAGTAAGGATAATAACCTCAGTAAATTCAATATTTCACTAAAAATATTTCAACAACAGACAAATTTCTCATCAGTCATGACCGTAAAAGCGAAACAGTCTATGCGAGTAGGTCTCGAAGGACAATCGTATACAGAATCCAGTAAAGACACACGTACCAACCACATGCTATGCCCAAATTTGTTTCAAACGCACAAATCGAAGTGAAACTCACAAAAGAGATTGACTGTAATTACTCAACAGCAAGAAAATAAAACAACGGACGTGAAAAAGAGAGTTTATTTAGAAAATCACTCCTAGCGAACTTGCACGTAAAAGAAGAAAGGCCAAAATCTCGATTAGATTGACTAGCATCGAGAGAGATTCTGAATGTTTAATTGCAGGCCGGAATGTTGACCGACAAAGAAGAATTTGAAGGAAATAACTTTGTCCCGTCAGACAGGTATTCAATCCAGTATATATTTGGATTTTATTTCCATGAATGAAAACAACATAAACCATTTACGTAAAGAGCATCATATTTGAACCAGAATCGTTATCAGGTAGTTTTTCCCATCTATAAACTAGCGATACTTAAGGCAGGTATTGAAAGATACCGTATGTAAATTACGGTGCACTGAAAATTATTCATTTTCCAATTATTTAATTATTTCTTTGTATTAATAATTTATAAATTTATTAATTTTTTTACCAATTTATAAACTATGTATGCCAAGTACTACACAAAAAAATAAGACATTACAATATCGAACCGTTGCAAAATAAGAGTTAGAAATGCCGGTGGCTACCCATCTAGTTGTAACTTTGGAAATTAAATAACAGAGTTGATGTGTAGCTAGAAATAAATAAACAAAAATTTATTATTAAGATAACAAATCACAGAATTTATAATCGTGAAGCAGGGAATTAGCTTCTCTTCATGCCAATACCGTCGCATGAAATTTTGAAGAGGCTGTCGTTCATCTTGTCGACGGTAAACTTTACCTGCACACAAATTACGCCTAATCAACAACAGAAACACGTTAGATTATCAGTGATGATAACACATATTGCCAAAGTTTCTGTAACTGAGGGATTTCATACTAGCAAGCTAGATAAATATGTTTACTGAAATAATATAAATAGAAATAGCGGTTTAAGCGTTTAGTAGGCCGTAGACCAGTCGCCGATTCTTAACATCGCAGAACATTCACAGCATTTTGCGGTCTCGAACTCGCAACTCACTGCTACAATTCTGCTGTGCTTAACCGCCCGGCCTCCTCGCCGATTCTGACCAGAAACTTACGCACAGAGCTGGGATCGAACCCGCGCCTCTCTGGTGCGTCAATCTTGGTACTCTGAACTTTAACCACATTATGGTTAAATTGAAGTTCAAATAAGCCTAAAAAGCAGTTGTAACAATAAGGCAAGTGTATAAGGCTGTCGTAACAATAAGGTAAGTATAACATTGAGGACCTATGAGCATTTAAGAATATTTCTCACGGGGGTGCTCTGCTGCATGATCTCAATGGCTGTGAGGGTGTGTTGGGTGAGAGGCCCACACACGACGCTCGACTTGCCCGCCGCCAGCCCCATCAGCAGGATCATCTGTCCATGAAGTATTATAATTATTTAGAATTCCTGCATGTGATACAGCAGGTAGTCTACATGGCTATCATCCAGGAAACGTACTAACCGAAATTGTTTAGAGTACACGTGTCAGTCTAATTACATGAAGTGGCCATTTCTTGTCTGTTATTGGTGGGTTTAGGTTGAAAAACAGTCAGTGATTGACTGACGGAATTATGAACTGTCAACTATTTTTAATAATACGACCTCAGGGACTCGGGAGCGGTTTCAGCATCAGAAAAACAAACAGCGAACGTGGGTAAGTTGTATAATGTGTCATGCATGTAGGCTACAGGGAACTGTACCTGACCCAGAGAAAAGAAGCCCGAATGCATTTTGTGGCATAAGGAAATAATCCAATTTAAGCGCTACAAAGTAGTCGCGGACATAACTCCTCTAAGTGTCCAAAACTCATCATAAGTTTATAGAGCAAACCCTTATTTTGTTGGATAATGCAATTCATATTTATAGCTTTTTGCAGTAAGAAGAAAGTGACAAGATGACGAGTCGATAGAATGTGTGCTGACGGTGGTGTGATACTGCGGACGAACCACACAGAACCTCCATTTACTGTCTCCCAGGATTGCTCACCTGATCCTGCATATGCCGGTCCACACACGCGCCCAGCTTACAGTCTTCTATGAGGGCTTGGGCGGCTTCAACACCAACTACATCTGCTGGCGTGCCCCTCTCGCCTCTTTTGCCTGCCTTTGAAATGCAAGTCGCTCCCAACACAACGTCTGTGCTGGTGCGGAGCCACAAACTGCTCATGGATGTATTCACAGATCATTTATATCACGAAGAATTGATTATTACTGATCAGTAATCCATATCAATAGTAAATAGTCTATATCAAAAGTTATTAGTAAGTGTTTTGAATCTTTTTAATTATATGCTTTGCATTTCAACTCCACAACAGAAACAAATGCTTCAGTTAATCTAAAAATGTCTGTGCTTATAATATGCCCCTTGTAGTGGGTAATTGAAATTCTTCTATACGCAAGGATATTACAATTCTACATATTCCAAAGTCATCATGCTAAACTTGGTGCACAACAGCACAGCTTAGATCGACACATCATACATCGCAACGGCAAGAAAAATTGTGTGCAATACATCACACTACCAAAATAATAGGTAGTGTGGTGACACAAAGTAATTGTATCATTGAATACTCACACAATACCAAAGCCTTTGCCTACAGCGTTAGGGTAAGAGGTGACCTCCTTCTTGATGTTGATATGCACATCAGCAGCGCCAGGCAAGCCTCGTTGTAAGGTCGCCCGTGCGGCGTCAATGGCGGTGTCGGCGAGATGGTCTGGCAAATCAGCAATCACGCACACCCCCTCAACCTTCAAAACCTGGAACACACATTTTCTATAATTTATTCCTTTATGCACTGTAATATTGATGATATGTAAACTGGGTTCTTCAAATAGAACGCATTCATGCTAATCAAACAGCAATATTTCTGAAAGGACAAAAGTATCTTTCTTTTTCATGTTAAACAAGGTGATTTCAATGTGAGCATTTCAGATGGGGATTACCACAATACGAGCAATTGTTCTATAAGAAATTTCAATTAATTTATAATTTTCATTCTGAACCTCCCATGACGTAAATAAAAATTTTATTCTTTTTAATTTAGGAGCACTAATTTTGAAATAAAATGAAATATTGTGAAAATGTCCATCAAATTTTAGGAAAATATTGCCAACATTTGAACCTAATTAGATCATTAACTACAGGGGCCTAATTTTCACATATGCATAATACCTTTAGTTTGAGCACCACTAACCTTGCCGAATTCCAATAGATTCACTGCAGTTAAACTACCAGGTATATTTTTGATGGTGGCTTGAATTTCTCCGCCTCCTCGAGGGAAGAAACCCCGTCGTGTAACATCAATGGACATGTCAACTCCAAACTTAGATGCAATCGGAGCAAAAACATTTTTTGTATAATCCACTGGAGGAGCCATGTCAGTGTCAGTGCCGCCTCTGAGGCTCAGTGACGTGGGACCTGGTGCATACAAACAGCATGGCAGCACCAACTGGATGATCAACATCACGCTCCTGGTTGGAAAAATGAAGGCAGATTCAGCATCATAAATCTACAAATTCCCAGCAAATTTGAGTTGGCATACAAAGAATGCTAGGCAATGATAAGATCATTTGCTATAACTTTGATGCCAGTACCAAACTATTTAACAATTTTTTCCTACTGAAATTATATGTTAATGAATTAAATAAAATGCTGAAATTGTGAATCTTCAGTTTAAGTTAGATTATAAAGTTGATGAACAAAAATTCAGTCTCATAATGCAAACAAAACTAAGGTATTTGTTCACATAATTGCAATATCAAAATTAATTTTTGAAAATTATTCACAAATCTTCAGGTATTTCCTGTGAAGCAGCATAACTCCATCATACCCAGCAGTTTGTATGTCAGCTTCAAAGTGACCAGCATTAATTGGACCTGGTGTTACAGTAACTTCTGCTGAGTTCAAGGAGCCTCCAGCAAGCTTCCCTTGGCAGATCAAACATAGCACCTCCAAGCCTTGAACAAAAGAATTTGTTAACAAATGATGGACTGAAAACAAACACACATTTCCAAACTACTGTCTCTATTGATCATCAGTTAGAAAATGTCAGGGACTGCTTTACAATTATTAACCATGGAAAAATCACCTCGTAAAAAAAATTCATATATATATTCTGTATTGATGATGAATTGATCAATAATTTAAACATTTATGTACCACTCTTCAGGTCAGGAGATGATTTCAAATCTGCATTTAGATTGATTAAAATAACTCTTGAATTAAACATAACAATTGAGTATGGGTAGTAGGTATAAATGAATGATAAATAATGATAAATATATTGAACATATGTTTGATCTGATCAATCACACTTCCTGAATAGACTCAGGTCACTCATAGTTAGGCCTGGAGATGTGTAGATACTAGATAGAATATGACCCAGATGTGGAACTATTATGAAAATTTTGACAGACTGTGGCTTTAAAAAAATTCATAAGGTTGGATGGGTACGGTATACCTTCTAGAATAAGACAAACCTTTTAAATGCTGAGACTTAAGACCAGGAGCAGAACGTCTAGCCCGAATCTTGTTAATTGTAACAGGATGTTGCATAATTACAGCACAAGCTGCAGCAACTCTCAGCACTTGACCCCCCTGAAATAAAAAGATGTAAAATTATCAATTATTTACTTTTTTAAACCATACTGGATAGTGTTTTATCTATATTATTTGAATGGAAAAACATAAAGCATGATGAAACAATATAAATGGTGCCAATCAATAAATTTGTGACCATGTGGACACACATCAATGGTTTGGTCAGGAAATATTTATACTGTACTGAGCCATTCACTTTCCTGATAAATTGAAAGAGTTATTATGCCAATCTATATCATGCTGCTACTGCTGAGTGCTGTATGCTGCACATTGGCTTACTACCTACCTGTAGAATGTTATGCAGCTCAAGCTCAATTTCGAGACTTTAATTTTAAATGCATAGGCCTATCTGATATCTAGCAAGTTCTTTTGATGATTCCATCTACCCAAGACCAAGAGAATGGTTTTTGTAGAAAAAGTTGACTATATTTCAATATTTGAGATAAAAAGTAAACTATTTAACAAAAAAATATGATTATTATAACCTTATAACAATTTTGATAGATTTTAATATCATTGTTAAATGTTAAGTGTTAACAATTAATTATTTCATCAATAATTAAATAATGGTATAAATTCTCAAATCTCACCCCTTCCAACAAGCTGCCATCAATAGTACGCAGTGTACGCTGATCCATTTTTGATACCTAGAAATGAGACATAAGAAACAATCACAAGTTTACAAGCATTATTCATAACACAGTATAATGCCAATGCCTTTCAAGTAAATGACTGGACAGGGTGGCGCGGTGGCCCAGTGGTTAAAGGGCAGGGTGGCCCAGTGGTTAAAGTTCAGAGTACTAAGATTGGAGCAGAGAGGCGTGGGTTTGATCCCAGCTCTGTGCGCCAGTTTGTGGTCAGAATCGGCCAGAGGCCGGGCGCTGGCGGTTAAGCACAGCAGAATTGTAGCAGTAAGTTGCAAGTTCAAGACCGCCGACCGGCAGACCGCAAAATGCTGTGAATGTTCTGCGATGTTTAAGAATCAGCGACAGGCCTACAGCCTAATAAACGCTGAAAGGAAACCGCTAATATTATTATTAAGTACCGTAGCCACTTTACTTACCTATATATATTGCCACTGGCCCCCTGCCAGTCTCAAGGTATACACAAAATATTTCATCAAATAAACTGGACCAAAGGACCAGGAACTCTCTTTTGAAATTTAAACATCATTGTTACTTACTATGTGTAGCCTATGTGGCAATTAAACCGTATCAATTGTAGTTCTGACAAGTATTATACCTAAGTATTTTTGTGATAGATTATTTACCTAAGTAAAGTATTATTTACTTATATTTAAATATTTTATATTTACCTTACCTATATTACCTAAGTATTTTAGATAGATTTTCTCCCATCAGGAGAGAAGACTGAAGCGAGACAAGCAGACGAGTGGAATCACTAGAAAGGTTAACAATATTCGTTGCAGTTGTATAGTGTACTATGTATAGTGATGGTCTAACTTATTAAGACATTTGTGTACCGTATGCCTGTGCGCAGTCTACGGTGAAAACTAACCATACGTCTCGGACATATTTAACCCTTTCCCCACTGACGGGACTCACAAGTCCCGCCTCAAGTTTCACGCTCTAAAATACATACAACAAGGAATTTTAGGTCCAGGCACCTAACGGGACTTCTACGTTCGTTTATACACCTCGAGAAAATTACTAATTGGCAACCGGCTCACCCAGTGAGATTTCTAAGGCAATTGCATCAGCCGGCTGAGAATGACAGTAAGTTTCCTTTTTCTCTCAGAATATTCCATCATAACTGTTTATATTCAACATGGATTTCCTTACTTTTTGTTTAATTTTGTGTAAAAATTTATATTTTAACGAAATATAACAAATAAATGTATTTGGAAGACTGTTTTTGATGAAAAAAATAGAAATTAGGGGAACGACTTGCAAGTCCCGCCAGGAGAACCGGGACCTGATAGTCCCAGTAGGAGTCGCGTGTCGTTTGT